GGACTATGGTGCCCCAAGTTAACTATTGCCCAGATTTTAAATTGGGGCAAATTGAGATATCGGGACTATGGTGCCCCAAGTTAACTATTGCCCAAATTTTAAATTGGGGCAAATTGAGATATTGGGTCTGTGGTGCCCCACGTTAACTATTGCCCAAATTTTAAATTGGGGCAAATTGAGATATCGAGCCCGTGGTGCCCCAAGTTGACTATCACCCCAATTTAAAATTTGAGCAATAGTTAACTTGGGGCACCACAGGCCCAATATCTCAATTTGCCCCAATTTAAAATTTGGGCAATAAAATTGTATTGCCCCAATTTGAAATTTTAAGTTGGATCGCCCCAAATTGAAATTTAGATTTGGGGCAGATCATCAACTTGGGGCACAACATAAACGACCGTCCCCCTCAAGGACACAAAAATAACACCTATAGTAACAACGGAGAACGCTTCATATATGGATATCTAGTTCCTCAATTAGACGAAGACGTTAACAAACCACTTTACGCATCTTAAAATAATAAACCCAAGAAGAATCCAACGAATAATGGGGATTATCCGCTGGATAAAAATGAATACTACGATCAAAATTATACAACACTTTAGGACTTACTGTATCCATACATGACGATAATATTAGTCAGATACAAAATAGAATCCAAGATATGGAATATAAACTAAAGGAATTGACTACAACCGTCACAAATCAAGAAAAAGTCATAATTAATCAAGAATCTATGATCAATAAATTAGGTGAAATAGTCCACAATTTAAGTACCATTACACAATCTATTTTAACAAATCAAAATGGACGTCAAGACGAACAAAGAAATGCTATCATATATTATCAACGAATCATATATCGGAAGCTAAACAAACGACTGATATTGTTGATGTTGAAAAGGACGACGACAGTGTACCAGGTTCTGATAAATCAACCCGTACTACACGTCCAAAAACACCAACTTCAGTTCAAATGGAAACTGAAACAACTAATGATACTACGCCACTTAACGAACAACGACAATCTATCAAACACCCAAAAATCATAAAACTAAACGATTCATCGAATGTGACAACACCTTAGTTAGCGATCTAGAAGACGCTACTGATAATACGAACAAGCTAGTACAAGTCACTCAATGGGATATAATAATGAATTAATTATCAATGAAGATTTTGATACCTCTTATAATGATTCAACTCAACCATTCACCGGCTCACTAGCTGGACAAAAATGCGCTAGGTACACTCCCTTCACCCATATATATAACACATCATCAACAAAAAGAATCAAAAAGAGAGGTTACGAAAAATACAGTACTTACTGACCAATCATCAACATAGAATGTTCATTCTTTAAATACTTCATATACTCAAAATAATAACAACCCATTCTTATTTACCTTCACTTAACTCTCTCTTCATCATACGAACAACCCCAATCTACTTACCAAATAGAAAACTACACTACACGCACCCAATAGATATATATCGATGACATCAATATATTAAATTAAATTAACAACAATAACTCCTCTTACGAGACAAATACATCCACAATAACAGAACACAATAATATTTCTTTACATTTTAATGATTACATTAAATAGGCACCATCAACATACAACAAGGATATCACTCAAAATTAAACGATATCCTATCATTTTATAAATTTGAGAAATTCGACATACTTACATTAACAGAATTAGGATACCAAAACAACACGAAAAACATACTATGGTACACATCAATTACATATACATATGACCATTGAAGATAATAACGACAAAGTCCGTATATATTACGACGTAAACGGCTCGACTAAAGAATCAAAAGTCGCAGTAGTCTTATCAAATTCACTTTCCAAACATATTATTAAAACAACCCATTACAAAGGAAGAGTGTTAACAATTGATCTATGTTTAAATACACAAAACACATTAGATTAATTAACGTATACTTACTGGCAGACCAATCAAAAGATAAAGACTTAACTATTGAACTTTACAACTATATTGAAAATACTATCAAAACAAGAAAACAAAACAAATATAAAATCACCATAATGAGATTTCAACATAGATTTAGACGTAATCAAAACGAACAAAATAAATACCCACATTGGAAATCTAAAATTAAAGATACACTTAAAACCTGTTCTTAGAAGACGTACTTAAATTTCATCAACGAAAACCATACGATGTTTTACAGGGTATCGAACAAGGCGAAGTTATAAGTCCAATTCTATGAATCTGTTATTACGATCCAATGTTCGCTAAATTAATGAATCTCCTGACCAATAACTTAACAAAAATTAATCAAAACTCAGACCAACAAATCAACTTTAACACATCAGTAGTAGGATATTTGGACGATACCAGTTGGTACGCGCCAAGTTTAGAGAAATTGAAATTGGCGAACGAATTCTACGAACTGGCTAATATCACCATCAATCATGATAAATACGAAATTTTAACAAACGACAAGAAAAGATGCAACAAAGAAATTACATTACAGGTCACTCATCAAAAATCAATTAAAGTTACTACAGTTTATATCAATGCTTTCCATACTCATGGCCCGAATTTATCATTACCTAAATCTACATACGACAAATATCATACATAACAAATTGTCCCCTTGTATCAACAATTTTTTCTATAACCAATTTTACGCATATTGCGCGTTTGCGCCATTACTAACGTGCTTCCAATTCAAGAATGTTTAAAATTATAGGTTACCAAAAAATCTTACAACCCAGTATGAATACTGGTTACCACATTTCCCAACACTGAACGATTTAATGGTTCTTCTAAAGGGAAAGCGTCACTTTTAACTAAAGAATTAGTATTATACAACAAATTTAACATTACTTTCTTATCCCATAATAATCCCCATAACAGGAGGTAATACCCCATTATTTATCATATATCGAATCTTACAAAACAAGACATTACTTCACTTAGATAAAAACATATAATGTTTAAAGACCAAATTACCACGATAGACGGAGAACATGGAATCATATTCGTGATCTCCCCTCAAAACAAATTTAAAGGTCGTAAACCAAACTGGTTTTGCAAATTGAATCCGACGGTATTTTGACGCCACAAAATCGCAGATTAACCATACCTTTAACGTCACCATTTATCAATTATTTGTATTATAAGGCACCAAAAATCACGCTTAGTTACTATCATCGCCCAAATAACGAATGGACTATTTATTGGGACGCCGGACGCAGTCACCAACAAAGAACTCTATGGATAAACTATTGGACAAGTTAACGATCCTATGAAAATATCGATCACGTATAGGAACATTTTATACCTTATACTCATCCAGACGATAATTTTCAAGGATTCACACCACAAAGTCAAGCCCCTATTTTAATTCCTTACCCAGGGGCCAAAATGTGTCCTTATGAATACTAATCAATTAATCAAGTTTTCAATTCACTCTAGTAAATACAAACCTAATTTTAATTCACGTCTGCTATCAAAACGTAGTATCTTTCCAACATCCAACATTTAACAACAAATCCATACGTTCAAAACATAACGATTTTAACAACCGATCTTAACACATTTCCACCGCCAATAAAGCTATCCATCATCATATTATGCAATTTTTGATGCGGATATTATACAGCTTTTATGCGGACATATAGAAAGACTTAAATTCTATAGAGACGGTTCTTTACGAAAATATAATAAGGAGTCGAACACTACAACATGCATAAGTTTTGGTTGGGCAAAAGACCAGTCAACACCACCTCTTACAGTCTTACTCTCAAAGTAGTACTACAATTTCTCCGTCGTCTACTAAAGCTGAAGGATATGCAGTTTTAACGGCCATTATGACATGTCCCGAGAATAGTACAGTCAGCATCTATACCGACTTGCAGAACGTTATTTCAACATACTACAACACTTCTAACCAATTACTTTCGGAACGTAGATATCTTAAAATTAACAATTATACACTCAACGTAACTTAAATATCATTTTCCATAAGATCAAAGAACACCTACAACAAAATGGTTGATGTTCTGGCCAAAGAAGGTTAGACACGCCTCCGATTTTGATTAACCCGAAATTCGTCTCCAATTCGTTAATGACGTCTATGTGGGACGCCATAGAACCGATCGATAGAGATATTAGGAAATTTGGAACAAGGATTAGTGAAGCGTATACGTACGATGGACATTCATTTTCAAAGTGATCACAAATTTCCAGTAATCATTCCGTCATTCGATGACGGAAATACACTGGCCGCTCACACAGGATTGGATCAAACATAACAACACTTTGGATATGTGTAGTCCTTTCAAAACTAAAAAAATGCCTGTAAATCAAGAGTTTAAATTATATTCTTCCATGTGGCGATATATTACAAAAACACTACCCTTTATTATACCCATCCCGACTTATCCTCTGTCACCTCTGCTCCGTCTGCTCAAAAATGAAGACACGAATTCACATTTGGGCGATGGACCAGGCGCTACAACTCATTTTAACGGAACAAAACTCAAAAGTTTTATTATCCCATATAAACACAAAACAACGTTAAGGTTATTCACGCAAGTCACCTCTATATCTCATCCGATCTACCTAATTATTCGCCAACTAATACCTGTGGAATTAGCCAATTCAACAATATAAGAATAAATACACTGCAACTAAACAATTCATTTAATTCACAACTTTACCAACTGATCTGGAAAACACATTGTGATGCGCTTAAGACATAAGAATTATCTCAAGGGATAAAACTAAAAAGAAAAGAAATCATACAAACATCGAGCTAAGAATAACAAAACACGCAACTCAAGTCAATCGACTATTCCTATTCCACCTCACCGTTCTGATCCATGACCAAATGTTACTGTCTTCTAATTCTCTTAATATAATATACATAGTAATCAAATTTTTTTTTAAATTGTTATTATTATTTTGGTTTCCCACTCACTAAAAAATTACAATAATCGTTAATGGTCATTTTATAACGAGTAAATTGACCATCCACGCTAGCGTAAATATTTGATCTTTCGTAAGTCTATCTAAATAATCCTTCATAAAATTCAAATATTTAGTACGAGTTTTACATGAAGTATAATAATCATCCAATTCATCAGTCCCAAAATTAGAATTATTTTTATAAGCTTCTATCATGAGCATTTGAAAAGGTTTTACATCAGTTACATGTCCATATTTCATTAGCCATCATTTAAAAAAATGATCTATATCGTCCTCTAAAAGGATAGGGTTTTTAGCGGGAGAGAAAGTAATTTCAGTCATGGTTCCGAAAAGTTAATTATCCTTGCACGAATTAGCTTCTACAAGAAAAAAAAAAATCTAAAATGAATTTCTTTTTTTCTAATAATGGTGCTAAGGGTCTGGTACAAAATCCCGAATGTCAAAATCCCGAAAATCCCGAACCGGGCAGCATTATGCTTAATGTTGGCCAATATTTCGGGATTTCGTACCATTCGGGATATTGTACGGATCCCGGTGCTAAATGCAACTTATGATCGTTAGAATGAGCCTTAACTTTCAGCAGTGATACATGTAATTGACTAAATATTTGATACCTTGGCATAACAGACAGTTATTGATTTTTGGAGCCGTCTTGAGTTAATTTAGGATTATCCAAGACTCCAGGTTGTTATGCGTTTATATGGGTATATGGGATGGGATCCGTACAAAATCCCGAATGTCAAAATCCCGAATGGTACGAAATCCCGAAATATTGGCCAACATTAAGCATAATGCTGCCCGGTTCGGGATTTTCGGGATTTTGACATTCGGGATTTTGTACCAGACCCGTTTATATGGTTGATTGAGAATCTGTATAAATCGTCACGTGATTAAATTTAAGACATATCGTAAAAATCGAAAACGTTTGCCATTGTTCAAATGAACAACAGTATGAGCGCTAGGGGAAGTGAAATACCAGCTGTATCCCATCTTGGTTTGGTAAGTTTGTCATTTCTTTTTAAAAAGCCACGGCATAAATTCTAATTGGTTAAAATCTTGTAATCTATTAGTAATATTAAAAAATTCTGTATTTAAAGAATTGGTAAAAGTAATTTTTTAATTAAAAATTAACAATAGAAGTAGGGGAACTAGTAAAGAAAAGGCATTAGGCGTCAAGTCTACGATTGGATTTGGATTAGATGTGGGTGATAATATTCTAAAAAATCATTGTATGTGATCGTACGATAAGTAATATGTGGTTTGTTGAGTTGTCTAATTTTGTTTGAGTTGGAAAAACGTAGAAGAAGGTATTGGTAAGTTGTGCACTAATGATGTAATTAGGTCAAATATCACCTATATCTGATATAGTAGGAGTTATGTAACGCGCGGAGATTCTTGATTTAGGTGTTGATGTCGTGTCGTTTGGGAAGGTTGATGACAGACTCAGGTTAAAGTGATAATGTTCGATGTATACCATAGGAAAGGAAGTTTTTTTCGAACACTTTGCCGTATATGATGTCAGAAATTTGATTAGATTACATTATGTAATCTCATAATCGATAAAATATATCACGTGATATTATAAATATGTAATTCTGGCCGGCATCATTAGTTTGACCTGAATTTATACAACATATATTAATTGACTGTGATATATCACATATGATGATCGGGAATGTCGATCATAAAGTGATGAATGATTGTCAAAAAAATTATATTTGTGTGATGCACTATATATAGATAGGATTAGCCATTAGGATTCTTTGTTGCGTTAACATACATGTAATATAACCTTTCTCTAAAGAAAAAAAAAAATATGGTTCAACTTATCATGAAACAATTGAAACATTTTTTATCTCCTGAAAATAAACATGAACACAAGTAATGAAAATATAAGGATTGTCAATCTAATAATCTTTTTTAAGAATAATATATTTTTCAAGAAATTCACACGGAGTTTGTTAAAAAAAATTGAATAATTTTAAAATAACAATACAATTTTAAATAATAACCAATAAAAAAAAATATGAGAGTAGAAAACTAATTTTTTTTAAAGTTAGCAGATCTTAGATATACAGGGCCTAGCTCGATCCATAATAACAAAACGAGCATAAAATAGGACAATCCGTATGTAACTCTTTTGAATTTCTTTTCTTCTTTTTCTGTAAAAAGAATAATTAAAAAAACAATTAAAAAAAAAATATATGTATAATTTTCTTTTTTTTTATTATATGTATATTATATATTAATAAAATAAATTTCTTTCTTTTT